CACGCTCCCCCGGCCGGAGCAGGGCAAGCCCCACGGTCCCACTCCCCAGGCTGGAGCTCCAAAGCCCCGCGACCCCCCTCCCCGGGCCGGAGCACAGCAATCCAAAGTGTCGCCGAAGACTCGGAGCACTGCCCGGTGAGTATAAGCCCCACGAATCGGGCCCCGCACTTGCTAAAGCCGGCCCTGAGCTCAGATTACAAAGGCCAGTGTGTATCCTCTCCACACTGAGGGAGAGTCGGACTGGGTAATGAATTTACACTGGTCAGGCTTCTGACCAGGGCAAGATACTACAGTTCTGCGGTGCAAGGCTAGGGGCTTGGCAGGTTTGCTGGTGCCTTTCTCTGTGCAATTCGTGAGTGGCTCAGGGAGCAGTCATGCAATTTAGCTAGTTGTGGAGCTCCACATGCTGTTGTACTGAAAGATAACAGCGCCGGGAGAGGTTTGGTGCTTGTCACTAGCAAAGCATTGTGAGACAGAGCCCAGGCTGGAGAGTTAAGGGGCCACAGCGGTACCCCAGTTCAGGTTGTACCCCAGGGAGCCTCTCACAGACCTATCCTATTATCTATATCTATATAGTATGCTAATAAAGAGTAATATTAAAATACAGATGAATCAATATAGTTAGATACAAGTTTTATTATCTGACACTCATATTTAATATTTGTACATATTAAAATTACCTCGGTTTGTATAATTCATATCAAAGTAAACTTGCATCTTAATAGTGTCCAGGGATGGATTTGCTGTGTCAAGAAGTCTACTAACACAGAGCTAAGAAGAGAGTTGTAAAAGTTAATTCTTTCTAACCACTTAGAATTTTCGGAAACATCAATAGCAACGTTACCATTTTGACAGCAGCAACGGAGCCTTCCACTCCCCATTCCTCATTCTCCCAACAGAACATGATGAATAGGTATATACCACCACTAGGAAATGCAGAATCTGTTCTTGACTACAGAACCATGAGAATGAAGTATGATGTTAGTTTTCAAAATGCTTTAAAGGAATCTTAGGAAATTGATCAGGTAGCTAAAAATTAGCAACCTACAAACTGGTATGATTTAGTATTTGTTAAATGCTGATAGGATGTTTGGTGCTGTATAGAAAAATCTCCTACTGAGACTGATTAGCAATTAAAGATGCTTTCAATATTTCTGTCTGCTATTATCAGTCTCTCTCTCTCTCTCCTCCAATATCTGGTTATACTGTAACTCCAGGAGGCAAAAAATATTTCATTAATCTAATCCTCACCTACCTTCTAATAATTATGCTGAGATCTCAGTAATTTACCATAATATCACTTTAACAAGTAGTTAGATTGTTTAGATTTCCCAATGCATATACAACAATACAGGTGGCTTTGCATAATTGTATATGTTAGCCTGTGGATGGCAATGGCAGGTATGTTCTGTTACTATAAATACAGAGCAGATATTTAAGTTTTATTTCTACATAAGTATGTAAAGTTTCTGAACTTTTGGAGAATTTTCAGAATTACCTTAATAAGTTTTTGCACATCATTTTTTGTGAGAGTTCGATCCACGTTAAACTCATTCCTTGGATCCAAAACGACAGCTTTCACCTGCAGATTAGCAAAATATGTTATTGGGGGACTACTCACAGTGAGTAAAATTACAGTAAATCCTAGCAAGGCTAGAGCCTAAGAACAGAGTTTGAAAATTGTGGCCAATGTGCGCAACTGCTAAATCTTTATACTTGTCTGTTTAGTGAAAAATATGTTATTAATCTTAGGGGGATATTAACATGACCTGAAGGCATTTAAACAAAATAATCAATGGCTAAAATATTAATTTTGTTCTTACCATGAAAGCCACCAAGGTTTCAGACACAGTTTGCCCTTTCATAGCACATTCTTGTCCTATTTCACGAATTATATTCTTTATGACACTTTCAGCCTGAGAGTGAGACATTCTGGACCAACAATACATTAACAGGTTTGATGTTTATTACAGTGCATCATACATTTGTCTTTCATTCTCTGTTTTCCCCACCGCAACATTTACTGACAATAGTGAGATTACATATTCTCTTCTAATGCCCTGAGCCTCTTAAATTTTCAGTAACAACTTGACTAGGTAGCAGAGGTGATTTATGGTTCACTGGACCACAAGTGACAAGAATATTTCCAAACAATAAGAAACTAACACAAAACAAAATTTGAAGGAAAAGTACTAAAACTGATAATAAAGGATTAACCCAGATAGCTTTTGTCTAACAGATGGAATATTTCTTATTAGATGAACAGGACTAACTCAGCAATCAACACAAAAGCAGGAAAAAATGCATCAGCTTTAAGGGAACAAAAATATTTTTCACATCAGCTGAGGTCTCCTTGGAAGCTGAGGGAACAAAAATCTCACTACATCATTAACAGTACCTCTGACACCACTGTTCCCTCTATTTTTTTACATCCATGTGCAGAATGAATTTTGTTATGTGTACCAATATGGAGGTAATGTATGGCAGGGGTGGGGCTGAAGGGTTCAGAGTGTGGGAGGGAGCTGAGGGCTTGGGCAGAAGGTTGGAGTGCGGAGGAATGAGGGCTCTGGCTGGGGGTGCGGGCTCTGGGGTGGGGCTAGGGATGAGGGGTTTGGCGTGCAGGCTGCCCCAGGGCTGAGGCAGGGAGAGAGAGGACTACCCCCAGCCCTCTCTCGCTGCAGCAGCTCCAGGCCGGGGGAGAGGCATCTCTCCCCGGCAGCTCCAGTGGTGCCGGGCTGGGGGAGAGGTGCCTCTCCCAAGATGCGGCAGCTCCAGCGGGGCCAGAGGAGGGGCGCATCTGTCCCCACCTGCAGCAGCTCTTGCTGGGTGGGGCTGGGCCGGACCGCCTCTCCCTGCCTGCGCGGCCCTTGTAGCCTGCTGTGCAGCTTAGAGGGAACTTAGTCTGATATGTGAGGCAGAATTCTGACCAGGACAAGTAGATACCTTTTGTTTGTAGATTAATGGCAAATTATTGAACTACAGGTTATCAACCCCAGGATTCCAATGACCATTCTGAGAACTTCCAGTTTTCCATGTGTTTAAGAAATGAAATAAAATTATTACTTAATCTGAAAGATGATTAGGAATTCCAATTATTTGGATCAGGAGACTGGTAAGAGGATGTTAAGCCTTCTACATCATAAATTCAGCTCTAACTTGGTGACTGAATATTGTTATCCTCTGATGCATATTCAGTGTGAAGTGAGTGTTGGTCTCAGTTCAGTTCCTAGATCAGGTGCCTTCAATTAGAGCTCATTGAAATATAGGATTTTTTTTCTTTTACACATTTTTGTGAAAAATTTGTCCCTGATTTTTTCCTACAAAAATTCCAAATGTAATTTTTTTTAATCAAGTCTTCCCACAATACACTATAGTTGGCACCAAATCACATCTTTCTTAGAAAGCTCAGAAAAGGTCATGGAAATGTAACTACACTCATACCTTATAGGGGTAACTCCAGAATGAGGTTTGAGCATATTGGTAGTTGGGGGAGCTTATACTACTGCTGCAAGGGCCAGATTAACGCAGGGGCTTTAGGGGTTGCAGCTCAGGGCCTCGGGGGGGGCCCACAAAAATAAATCCATAATTTATTTATTGGTCAGTCCTGGAGCCTCTGCCAGTCGATCGCGATCTCTGGGCTGCTAAAAGTCCAGCAGCGCGGCTGGGCTCAGGCAGGCTGCCTACATGCCGTGGCCCCACGCCACTCCCGGAAGCAGCCGGCTCGTGGCACGTGTCTGCAGCCCCTGGGAGGGAGGGGGGAAGGCGGCTCTGTGCGCTGCCCCTGCCCCCAGCACTGTCCCCGCAGGCGCAGGCAGCACACGGAGACACACTGTCCCCCTCCCCCCAGGGGCGCGCAGAGACATGCCAGCAGCCAGCCACTTCCAGGAGTGGGCATGGGGCCATGACATGCAGCCTGCCTGAGCCCTGCTGTGCGACCAGCAGGGAGCTGCCTGTGGTAAGCGCCTTCTGGCCGGAGCCTACACCTCATACCCGCTCCTGCACCCCAACACCCTGCCCCCATCAGAATCCCTTCCTGCACCAAACTCCCTCCCAAAGCCCGCACCCTCTCACCCCCTCCCAAACTCCAATCCCCTGCCCCAGCCCTGAGCCCCCTCCAGCACCCAAACTCCCTCCCAGAGGTTGCACCCCACACCCTCTCCTGCACCCCAACACTCTGCCCGAGCCTGGAGCCCCCTCCTGCACCCAAACTCCCTCCCAGAAAGAAACTAATATAATAGCTGTTCTAAGGTAAGAAGTAGGCTATTTTGAATTAACTTAACTATATTCTAAAAGTTTTAAGACTGAAATGTAACCACAGAATGGCTTTATGTTAATTAAAAGGCAAGTTTAGTATAGCATTAATAGCCTCCCTGCCCTAACTGTGATCATTTTGTTTTCAATTAGGAAAAAGGCTTGTATACAAGGGTCCCACAAAATCTATTAGCCCTGGGCCCACAGGAGAGTTAATCTGGCCCTGACTGCTGCCCATGCTGTACCTCTTCCGAGAGCAAATACAGGACTCCAGCGACCAGGGCCATCAATCGGGCATTTTTCACAAGCACAAAACTCACCTGAGAAGTAAAACAATTTAATAAAAAATATGTTTATGTTTCTGCAAAACTATATCTACTGGGCATGCGCGTTATCGCCCCGTGATAAACAGAGCTACAAGGGGTCCAGCTCGCCCGCCCCCAGGGCCGCCGGTCGCACCCAGGCGAAGCGGAGCGGAGCGCCGCGCCGGGAGGGGCAGAAGGGGACAAGGCGAGCGACGCTCGATTCCGTTACTCTGGCTGCCTCCTGCCCGCCACAAGCCGCCCCCCGCGCCGCAGCTCCCGGCTGGGCGGGGACACTCCGCGAGGAAGCGCGCACAAAATGCCCCTCCGCGCACTTTGCGCGCCCCTCGCCGCATGTACAATGCGCACGCGCGCGGGGGGGTGTTTCTGCACCAGGGAAGCGGCATTTTCCCTCCCCCGGGGGCCGGCGCGGCGCGAGCTCCCTCTCCCCCACCCCGGGGAGCCCTCTTTACCCGACCCCCTGAGAGATTCCCAGTCTCTGCTGCCGCGCCGCCCCGGCTCCCCTGGCCCGCCTCGCCTCTACCCGGACAAACAGGAGAGTTTCCTGCCCCAGACGGGCTAGAAAGCAGAGGATCGTCCTCAGCCGGCCGCTCGCGTTTCCATGGAGATAGAACGCGGCTCCCCAGCGGGCGGGGCTGCTGAGCGAGCATGGGAGCGGCGGGGCGGCCCAACCGCGCGGTGATTGGCGGGCGGGCGGGAGGTAACTGCGGCCCCATTGGTTGTGGTCAGGTTAGGACACGGGCGCGCGAGTGGAAGGGCTGTTAACGGGGACCCCTGGGACGCTGCCTCGAGGGGCTACAGCCGAGCCCGCTCTGAGCAGCCTTGCGCGGTCTGGGCCGCGCTACCCGGCTGCCGGCGGGCCGAGCTCGCTGCTGCTGTCACACAGCGCTCGGCTGTGCCCGCTCCTCTCGCCCCGCAACCAACCCACTGGCCCTGGTCTGCAGCCTGGCGCCGGCCGGGCCCAGCAGCGCCTCCCACCCAGTGCCGCTGCGGAAGGCGGAGCCGGACCTTTCCCTTTCCGAACCTGCCTTGTACAAATCCAAGCGCCGAGGTTCGGCAGAGACCCGAGTTCTGCAGCGTGGTCCCGCTGGCGCTTGCTGGCTTCCTTTGAATGATGGAGCGGGTTGGGACCATAGCCACAGCGCCCTTTGTTTTCTGTTTACATTTTATTTCCCCCCGGGACTGTATTGGTGTTTATTACCGCAACAACAAAACGGGCGAAAATCAGTGCAAAAAACTATTAATATTTTTTCTGGGTAAATAGCGGGGTTTATTTTGGTGGATGGAAGGGGGGGGTATTCAGGAAAGTAATGCTTTGGTGAACAGAATTCAATGTGGTTTGCTGCAGAAGTAAAACAGAACTCAAAACAGTGTGCCACTGCCGAGTATAAGATTCCATATATCCAATCCCCAAATAAAACTTTTCATTTGAATAAACAGTTTACTATTGTAGGCTTAGAACTATTAGCCTATAAATATTTACATTTAATAACTGGGCCACGCCATTTGCAGCGCATATACTCAACTTCATCCTTTTCTCCTGTTTTTTTTTTAAAAAACTTTTGAATACAGATTTTCATTCTATTTTAGTGTGTCAAATTTTTCAGCTGTTATCTAACAGCTTGAAATGTGTATGTGGTGGGTATGAGATTCAATCAGTACGTTCAGATGCGCACGCACTTCAGAGCTTGTGTGCGTGCCTGTTTGTTTGTGTGTATCTTCTAGACGAATACATAGCCTTACTTCAACAGGCAGCTTTGCTCATACACACAGACTAATATGTATTAAAATAATATATATACCCCATGCAATGTATTGTATTTTCCTAATAAAAAAGTTTTTATTTATATATATAATTTGAATGATAAATAAAATTGGGACGAAAAACACAATACTTTTTATAAAACCCAGGATTTTTTCAGTAAAAATCAATTTAAACTGAAAACAAAGGGGCTTACATATCCAGAGATTGTAAGGCCATAGAACTTCCCCCACACTAACTCCAAGTGCCTACAGTTACAAATTAGGGATGTGAAAGGTTAACCAGTAAGTATAGTCTTACCGGTTAACCGCCCTAAGCATTAACCTCTCTGCCGGCCGGTGCGGGCCCAGCTACGGTGCTTGGCTGGAGCAGCGCCGCCTGGCTGGAGTGGGCCCCAGCCACTTAAACAGTTAACCATTTAAATATCAGGGGATAGCCATGTTAGTCTATATCCACAAAAACAACAAGGAGTCCGGTGGCACCTTAAAGACTAACAGATTTATTTGGGCATAAGCTTACGTGGGTAAAGATTTATTTGGGCATAAGCTTTCGTGGGTAAAAAACCTCAGTTTTTTTACCCACGAAAGCTTATGCCCAAAAAAAACTGTTAGTC